TCGTGGATCCGGAAGAACACTGAATATAACGTTTCATATGTATCATTTAAATGTAGTTAAATAAATTTGGTTAGTTTTGAAAATAATCCCGCGCTTTAAAAAGCGCGGGTCAAAATCTAATATACTATTAAAGTAGAATCCCTACTAGGATTCTACTCTTAATTTTCTATCATATTTACAATACAATGCCATTCCTTATTTTAAGTATATCTATTCTATTAAAATAGAGTCATTCTTTTTATCTACTGATACAAGTTGTCATTTAAATTTGGACCCTTTCTAGAGTGTTACAAATAATACAAGTTATATAATTGATCGAACCGCATTACTTAAATTAAACCGGCGGTTATTTATGGAATAGAGTTTTGGGCTTACTTTTGTTTTTATGACATTTAATTGTTTGGTTTTTGGGCTTAGTATTAAAAAAACTCCAAAAAACATTAAATAAACTTTTCACCTTAATGGATCAAAAATCAATTACTATTTTCAGACCTAAAAATATTTAATATTTCAAAAAAAATTATATATTATTAATCACTTATTTAAATCATATACTTTAAAACATGTTAATATTTTTAGCCCAAAAATATTTAATATTTTCAACAAAACAAAATTATCTATTATTAATCACTTATTTAAATCATGTACTTTAAAACATGTTAATATTTTTATTTTAAATAACAATCACTCTATCTTGATAAATTTTAATGGTAACTTTAAATAATTTATTGTTTTATTTTTCTTAAATAATTTACAGATTTTAAAAAAAAATGTAAAGCAAAACCAAAAACCAAATCTAAAAACTAAAATCCAAAACCAAAAGTTGAAAACGCAGGTTATATTTTTTGATTTTTTTTATTACAAAATAAACTATTTCAAAATTTTTAGAAAATTATTTTGTCATGTCTTCAGTTTTAAATTACATGTTCGATTAATTGAGATTTGTTTGTAGGTAATATCAGTTCAAACTAACTTAGCAGGTCTAAAAATTAAAAACCCAAACCAAAAGCTGAAAATCAAAAATAGAAACTTAAAAACTAAAAACCAAAAACCAAAATTTAAAACAAAATCTAAAAATAAAAACTGAAACTAAAAATTAATGAAAAACAACTATCAACACAAATTTTGGTGAACTTATTTTATCCCAAAACATGCTTTAAATTAAGATAAAACCCAATTACATAAATTTTTAATCATAAAAAATTTCTGCGCTTGAATTATATTTTTTGCTTTTTATTACAAAATAAACTATTTCAAAAATTTTAGAAAATTATTTTGTCATCTTTTCAGTTTTAAATTACATGTTCGATTAATGAGATTTGTTTGTTGGTAATATCAGTTCAAACTAACTCAGAGGATCTAAAAATTAAAATCTCAAACCAAAAGCTGAAATCAAAAATAGAAACTTAAAAATTAAAACCCAAAAAATCAAAATCTAAAACAAAATCTTAAATAAAAATTGAAACTAAAAATTAATGAAAAACAATCATCACCACAAATTTTGGTGAACTGATTTTATACCAAAACATTCTTTAAATTAAGACAAAACCTCAATTATATAAAATTTTAATCATAAAAAATTTGGGTAATATCAGTTCAAACTACCTCAGCGGATCTAAATATTAAAAACTCAAATCAAAAGCTGAAATCAAAAATATAAACTTAAAAATTAAAACAAAAAAAATCAAAATCTAAAACAAAATCTAAAAATAAAAATTGAAACTAAAAACTAATGAAAAAAATCATCACCACAAATTTTGGTGAACTGATTTTATACTAAAACATTCTTTAAATTAAGACAAAACCCCAATTATCTAAATTTTTAATCATAAAAAATTTACGCGCTTTTAAGCGCGGGTCAAAATCTAGTTTATTTAATTAAATTCATTAAGTATATTCAACCAATCCGAATGGAGGATTTGTTAGACCAATAACATTACATCATCATTAAAAACGTTTTTAGGCTATAAAATCTATTGGTTCCCTACATTAGATTTGATCCCAAAAAATCCTAACTGTACAAACCCTACCACAAAATAATAACTCAAAACAGTATAATATAACAATTTTTTTAAAAGAAATTAACATAGGGTCACAGAAATAATATGAGAACTTATTTTGCTGTAAGTATTATTTTCAACAAGCCAATACACTCATTGAAACTCTTACCTAAATTAACATGCTAAATAATTCTTTCATAAACAAACAAACAAAAAAAATCATTTGTTCTAACATAGATCGCATACCAAATACATCGTGAGGTGATATTAATACGATCACTTTTGGGTACAATCAATAAACATTATAAAAAGTATAAACAAGCTATTGTCTGTATGTAGTTTCATTGTTATCGAAACATTGTCAATTATATTTCCAGTATGTAGCTAGGTTTTTATTCCAATTATATCGCCAGTATATTCTTAACAATTTCTGTTTTTAGCATTCATAATATGCTGAAACTTTTTTTTAAAGTTACTTTTCTTAATTCGCTGGATATGAAAATTACTTGATTTATATCTTGGTCATCAATAAATACAATTTAGGTGATGATTGTTTGGATGGTTTTTAAATTTTAGTTTTTGGTTTTGGCTTTTAGTTTTTAGTTTTTAGATTTTGGTTTTTAGTTTTTAATTTTGCAGTAGATTTTAGTTTTTGGAAAAACACGAATGGTGATTTTGGTTTTTAACTTTTGGTTTTTGTTTTAAAAATATTTTAAATTTTAAAGTTTTATTTTGCTGCGAGTTTAATTTCCAGAAAAAAACATGAATGGATATTTTTTAGTTTTAATTTTACTATGTTTGAAGGATATTTTTGAATTTAAATTAAAAACTAATAATACATATTAGTACTACTTAAAATATATTTATTTATTTAATAAATTATTTCTGAAGAAAAATAATGCAATCTAAATAGATTAACCAGAATTCACACATAGCTATATATTACGACACATAACTTAGAATTTTTTATTTTAAAAAAAAAAAAAATTTAAATTTTTTGTTTGTAATTGAAAAGTTTTAAAAATATTCTTAATCTAAATTATTTCATATTACATCAAGTAAATAATTCTTGCTAAACCTTATTTTGTGATAGTAATTTATCATTTTTATTGTTTTTCTTCTATCAATGTATAAATATAGTAAAATTATTTTTTTTAAAAAAAATCCAACCAACGTAAACTAGCTAGGAAACCATGAAATCTTGGTTTTTGGTTTTTATGTTTTAAAAACAGTTGTTTGCAAAAACTAGTTTCCCTACATTATAGGAAATCTATTTTGTGAAAATCTTGATTGGGTAAAAATTGGTTTTTGGAAAAAAAAAACCATAACATAATATCTTACTTTTCTGTTTCTTTTTAGTTATGCAGTGGACCATGTTGATGTAATATTTAGAAACCCATATTTTGAACCACGAGCCCCCTGTCTTATAAAATTATGAGGACTAATTTATAACTTTTAAAATAATTTTCAACATCTATACTTATATTATTAAAAGATAAAAAATCAACAAAACTATATTCGTAAACGTAGTACATAATTAAATATTAAAAAGCATTTTCTTATAATTTAGAACTTTTTATCATTTTAAAAGAAAAATTTTGTGTGTTAAAAATGCGGATCAAATTTAGTTTATACTATTCAAACCGAATATCTCTTAGGGTATGCCAATCATTAATATTTATGTAAATCTTTCCTTATTAACAAAAAATAATAATAAATTCTCCCAGAATAATCGGCTAACCCAATTTCTAGATACATTCCAATAGTTTTGACATCTTTTTCTATTCTTCAATCAATTGTTTAATTCTTCAAATAATATTAGGCAACAATCTATATCTTCGAATGTAACGATTGTGCACATAATTAATATAGGAGTTCTCTTTCATATTAAACGTTGATTATATGGGCCTTAATTTTGATTGAAATTTGCTTATAAATAATTATTATTATAATTATTTTCACAAAATAAACATTTTTAGATATTTGTCATCAATAACATTTAAAACAACTATTAAATAATGTTTTTTTGCAACTAACTATTAAATAATGTTACAAATCATTATATAAAGTTTACAAGTTTTATGTTATAAATTAAATATTTTTTTGAAACAAAACCAGCGCTTTAAAAGCGCGGGTCAAAAATCTAGTAACATTTTAAAAACTAACTATTTAAAAGTTAATTTGTATACATAAAAGTATATAAATTAAAGTAAACACATAAATCAAAACTAATAGATTTTTGTTGATTTACATTCTTGTTTTTGGCAAATAAATCCAAACAACCATTACTTTATATGGTATATAATTGAATGTTATTGATATTGACATATATATAGTATATTTTAATTTATATTTATTATTGACACTTCCTATTCATATAATTTTATTTACATTAGTATATTTTGTTCTAACAAAAATTTGAATAAATCACAAAAAAATAATGTGAGATTATTCCAATATGAATTTTAATATTAAAATATTAAAATCTTCATATATTTTCACTGCAAATTTTGAAATTAACATATTTATAAAGACTTGACAATAACATTGGCTTGAGTAGTTGATGAAAACGACCTGGTTGTAGTAGTTTTGTCAGTATATCATCATCATCTTGATTACCATACTTATCCATTTCATACACAAATATATTTTCCTATATCGACTTGTTGTCTTTACACTGGTCGTATTGCTCTGCTCACACAATTATTTACGTTTACCCATGGAACAAAAGATTCTATAACATAAATTTGATTAAGAATCTCTCTGTTGCGACATAACATTTCCTAGCGTATATTTTTCATATTAGATCATCAAAACATATCATTACATTATTATATCGTGACCTAGAAACAGCACATTAAAGAAATAAAGGATATGACTATAATGTAGTTTAGCGTAATAGTTTGTGGTAATGATGTTGATCTCTCATGATTAAAGAAGAACAAGAAAAACTAAGCATATAAAACTATAAAATTGTTTTAAGTTCAATAGACAATGCCTTGCAGAAACATACCATCGAACATATATTAAAGCCAAATAAAATACAAAAGAAAAAAACATAAATAAAAAAAAGGAAACCTCAAATGCTCAGGCGGCGGGTGAAAACACAAAGCTCCCTTTTCTCCCTTTCTGTTCACCTCAGCCTCACCGGCAAATTACAAAAGCTGCCGGTGAAAAAAAAACTTGTTTTCCGCCATTAATTATTCAATTTAGTTTCTCGTTTATGTTAATTAGATAAATTCAGATACCTTTATAAAAAAAACTATGTAAACTCTACTAAACTCCAAAATCAGTAAATAAAACGTTTTTTTTTTGCTTCATAAAGTGTTCTGTCCACGTCATCACCTCTAAGCTCGGAACTGTTTTCCGGTATAAGTCTGTCCGAAGCTCCAGTTACGAGGAGTAGCGTTGTTAGAAACAACTGTACGGCCATCACTAGTTGTTACTTTGAAAGAGAGAGCTTGACCGTCAAGATTTGCGTTGCTTTGCCAGTTCTGTCCCCAGTTTCTCGACATGCTTTGCCAACCTGTCCTTGTCCCTTTGATGGAGACCGAAACAACATCTCCGGCGCCGGCGACGTTGGTTATGAGTACGAGGTTGAAGTATGAATGGCCGTTGATCGTGAATCTCATCCCGCCTCTTCTCCGGCAAGCCACTCTGTTTCCATCATAGAGCATAAGAGATGAATATTACACACTAATCTTTATTTATTTGTTTTTATTACGCACTAATCTTTGAGAACTAAACCGAGATAAACCGGGGAACGTACCTCCGGTATTGAACCGGGACGACACCAGCTTTGTATTGAGCGATGCGGAGAAAGATGGGCTGAGCTAAGTCAAAGTGATGTTGGGGAGGATTACACCAACCTCCAGCGTCGTTGGCTTGAGCAAAGTTAGGTGGACAAAAGTTTGTTCCGGTGACGGTGATTGTTCCCCGGCGACACCATTTTGGATCATTTACACATTTGATCTGGAAACAAGCGCCGCAGCTTTGGCCGCCGTTGAATAGAGCCGTGCTTAGCGCCGCTGTGTTAGTGTTGTATCCTTGGCTGTATAAGTTACCGTACCCACACGCACCGCCTGATTCCCCGGAAAAAGATGTATCATCAGTACAAAATGATTCTTAAGAGTTGAGAATTGAAACATTTAGAAATTCGTAATTTATTTAAATATAAGAAATTATTGGTAGATTACAAAGCTTTTTGTCATATAAAAGTAGATGTCTACTTAGTTTCCACACGTTCGAATTATTTAAAACAAAAAAAAGTATTATACTAAGGCTATTTTGAAAAATGATTCTTAAAGGGTTTAAAGTTAGCTGAAGTGTTGTTCAAAAGTAAGCTGGAGAAAAGAGCAAGTAAAGTTACCCATGGTGCCAGAGGCATCAGCACCTCCATAGAATGTGGCTCGAGCATTGACCCAACCGCTACTATAACCGTCCACACTCTTGCACATCACCATCATCATAAGACTCATCAATGACATCATTTTTCCAAAAATCTCCATATCTTCGCCTTTTTCTGCACAAGAAAACTTCGTGTTAATAGAAACAGAAATATATATATATATATATATATATATATATGTGTGTGTGTGTGGTGTGTGTATGTGTGAGTGAGTGAGTGTGCGCATGTAAGAAGATTGAGGAAAAGAAGAGTGTGGAAGATTGGAGCTTACAATGGCTTGGAGAAAAAAAGGGAACCACAAAAAATGTAGTGAGGTTACAGGAGAGGAAATGGTTGTGTTGTGGTAGGTTGAGTTCTGAGGAGATAGGATGGTTATATATAGAAATTTCTTGGACTCTAGAAGTAATTATTAATATTTGTTACTTATGATTTTGTTATTGTATAACACTTGTCATTGATTTTTGTCAGCTAACTATTTAAACCATATATTGTTTTGAGTATTTGCACTCTCTATACACAAAAAACCCCAAAATTAAGGATATACCTATTTCTCTCTATCTCTCTCCTCCCCCATTTACCACTTTCTTGCCTCTCTTTTATGGTATCGCTGTCTTTTATGGTATCTACCAAATTCACTCTATTGTTTTTAATGTACATAATAAACCCCATTTTAACAATGGAGGAGTATATATGATTATGAATTTATGATCCAACTTGACTAAACTAAAGCACTTTTGCAGCACAAGTAGAGCTAAAATAATATCTTAAAATTATTTTCTATATAGGTTTTTTTGTAACTGATTTTCTCTAGAGATAATTTGTTGGTATATCTTAAATGGACCTCTAATTAGGCAATTACCTATGATTTGATATTATTAAAAATGACGATTTTGACCATGTTTCCACTAATCTCTCTCCTGACATTATCTCTTCTAACACTCTATAATAACGATTCCACTTTTTTGCTATTCTATCTCTGATTCAAACTTTCTCATCATCTCTTTTATTATTTGACCATTTTCTCTTTAACTTTTTTGTTTTTTTCTTTACTTTATGAAATTATAATATTTTTTCAAATTATTATTTTTAATATATAATACTATCAGATGTGTTATTAATATTATATATAGAAAATAATGTGATGTTAACTGTTAATAAATACATGTACTAGATGTATTAACAGAGACATTAAATGTTAACAAATTTTGTAGATGTTAACAGATGTGTTAGCTGTTAACAAATACATGTACCATATGTGTTAACAGAAACAATAACTGTTAACAAATTTATTAACAGCTAACACATCTGGTACATGTATTTGTTAACAGCTAACACATCTATTAACACTTACATTATTTATTACAGATAACACATTTGTTAACAATCGATGATTTTAAAGATATTGCAATGATGTTTTTCTCAATCTGTGGTGTAATTAAACAAATCAATACTTTGTTTTGTGTGTTAATTAGTGTTTATGAATAAAAAAATATGGAAGAAAACAAATTATAATAAAAAATGGAAAGAGAGTGTAAGAGAGAAGAAGAAAGAGAGTGTCAAAATAATTAAAAAATCACATAGAAGTTGAGAATGCAAGAGGGACTTCAATGTCCAATCAAAGCATAATTGTAGTCACATTATAGACACTTTTCTAATTAAACCCTCCATTATGGATATTGCTCTAATTCTCTCTTTTCTATATGGTTTAATCTTAGCTCCTAGGCAAAATAAATTTTGATTTTCTATATAGGTTTGACTGTACATTGTTTCTAAATAATACTCCATTCCTCTCTGTTTACTAGAGTATATTTAATAAAAATAAGTATCAAATTCGCTAACTTTACACTAAAAATACAACTATTATTTATGAACAATATTCGAAAATACTATATTGCATAGTTCCGCATGTGGGATAATATACTGTTACCATTTTATGAAATTTTAGTGCTTTGTATGTTATCCTATCAAATGCTTCAGTCAAAGATTTAAGGGAAATTACACTTTTACTTTTTATTTGAATCAATATTCATGTTTTCTTTCTTTAAATAGACTTTTTTAAATATTTCTAAGTATGAAGTTTCATTAAGGAGACAAAATATATATTATTTTTAGTATAAATAATTATTTAAATAAATAGAAAAATAACTTTTTACACTTTTCGAATTATATATTTTCAAATTCAAACTGTTTTGTAAAAAAAATGAATTTTCAGTTTTTTCTTTTCAAAAACTAAACTGTGTTTAAAATTTTTATTTACAATTTTAAGTATGTATTATATATTTATTAAAACTATAAACTCCACCCTCCAAAACCCACCCCTCAAATCTAAACCATGAGTCTAGACTAATTAACTTTATGATTATAAATTTCTATTTAACTCTTTAGAACTATTGGTAAATATGGTAAAAACAAACATGAAAATTAATGTTATAATAATAGTAATTTAAGCAATTTCTCAAAATTTAAACTAATTAAAGACACATGGTTCAATGGAAATTTAAATATTTATATTTTAAAAGATTGATACTCTAAGTTTATTTTTTGCACTCCTATTTTATTTTCTATTTTAGATTTTTGTACATAAATTAAAAATCATTAACTAATTTTATGTTTTGATCTAAATTAATATATTATTTTATTTGATTATATTAGTTAGTGAATTATAAATAGAGATAAATTGGAAAACTATCAAATAAATGCCTTGAAAAATATAATGACACTTAAGATAAAAGATTTTTTTTTTTTAATTCTAAATGATAATTAATATGAAGTGGAGGAAATATTTATTTATTTATTATTTCTTTTTTTTTAATATTTAGTTTTCAACAATTTGTATTATTTATATTTTTCCATTTTGAGTTTTTTTAGACGGAATGAGTAAATGGCTGCTTGAAAAAATTATTTGGTGAATTGAATAACTTTAACCTTTTTTTAATCTCGAATTTTGCAATGAGTTTAAGCAACATCGAAAGTACCAACTTCCTCGTTACTTTATAAATAAAGAACTCATATTATGGTGGTTAAGTTGACCATTTGACCTTTTATATATATTTCAATCCCGAAGTCCACAGAGATTGGTACAACGAAAATACAAAATAATATAGATTTTACAAGAGTTACGTTTGCTTTCTAGTTTCTGAAATGTGTGCTTTTAACGAAGATCGATACGTTTTCTAAAGCAACTCAGTGATGAGTTTAGTTGATGATCATTCTATAAAATCATGTATTCTAGTATTTCTTAGTGACATTGCTATGAAAGATCGACTTATCCAATTAAAAAAAAAAATTGACTTATCTGATAATCTGTCAGAACAGAAATTGTTTTGAGAATTGAGACTAGAGCTCATGTTAAAAAAGGGCATGAGTAGTAAGTAATAGGTAACTGTAGAGATTAAATGTAGTTTGCTTCTTATGCGTACTATTCAATGTATTCATAAAAGCGAAAGAAAACAACTGGTGCTAAAGCACTATCACAATTTATTATATGGTGTTTGTATTGTTCTACTTTTTTGTATAGTTTGCTGCTTTGTGTTATCAATCATATTTTAAACGTATCATAAATAGTTAGTCTTTTTTTTTTGCTTCAATAAATAGTTAGTCTTTTAGATTATTTTTATCTTCTACATTTTCGTAATTTTGTATAATGCTTTATTAGTATCTGGGCATAGAGTAATGAAACAGTAATGTCACACTATATATTGAGAAATGCCTATTCGTTATCACCTTTGCATCTAACCAATATCAAAATGATTTAATATAATCAACAACATATATAATATATTCGATTAAATTTGCATATTGCAAAAGTTGACTAAACCCAAAAAGAAGTTAATGTCTTGCTTCAAAGACAAGGTTCGAAACTTTGACTAGTTGTTTCTATTTTCGTATAAAGTTTATTAACTGAAAACCGCAGGAACAGAACATATGCTTTTTGACGTCACATTCAACTACCTTTTCCAAAGTAAACAGAGAAAGAAAGGAAGAACAAAGCATTCGAATTCGCATATTACTTACTTTACAGGTGTAGTAAGAAAATTTGTTTTTGAATATCTAGTAAATACAGTGAAATAAAAAGTTTAAAGAAAAAAACTCTTTACTTGATAACCTTCGTTATATATTTGTTTTTGTTTTTGTTTTTGTTATAGGTACCTTTTTTGTCTGCATAAAACATATTATCGTCCATCCCAAAAATATTCTTGTCCTCCAGTTGCAAAGAGATTAATCTATTCTCCTGTTTTTACTATTCGAAATAGTTATAACAGTACTTGTCGCACTTTATTTATTATATTAAAAGGGAATCAGTGCTTGACTTTCGGCGACTGTTTCGTGCAACTAGAAATTATATTTTCAGTACAAACTAATTTAAAACAAAAATACACATGAAAAAATTGACCACCTCAATTTCAGGATCTAAAATGACATTCATGTGATACAAATCGTCTTACTTAAGATTTGCACTGATAATTTACGATTAAACCATCACTGACAAGTAAATTAGTTCCCACGTTATTCTAATCAAATGAAATTACACAAAAGATTTTGTGGAATATTAGAACAAGCAAACTTGTTAAAATAACCAATATAACTCGTTAGTAAACGTACGTCAGACTGAAACTTGACAAAAGAGGATATGAAATGGAAATGAGAATTTTTTTTATCAATTACATGTAAAAACAAGGTATATAGCTAAACCTATATGATAGAGTGTGATGTATTCGTATGCAAGCATGTAAGAACATAAAGTAAAGAACACATAGAGATTTATTAACGAGGTTCGTTCCTACATCCCCGGAACCACGTCTAGAACTCATTCACTAGAAAAAACTACAATAAACCATTGCTATACGGTATTTAACACACACCCGTGCCTACCACTATAATCTAGAATTACAATGAAAATGAATTACTACTCTGACAAGTATAATTCTTCATAACAAAACTACCAACAGATCTCCATCTGTCTGGTAGGACGACGTCACACACATCCATGTGCATCTTCAATAAACTCTAAACGCGTAGCCTCTTTCTATCATGCTTTGTTCTCTATATACTTGAATAAGCAAAACCCTAGCTCATTAAGCCCAATAATCTCCTTTTTAATATATATTTCGTCAGTCAAATATATGGGAATATTCGACTTTATCGCATCTTGTCGAATCCTTTTTATTCTCCGAAGCGTGTGTCATACACCATTATCTGTGTGTAACACAAGTACGCGAACCAAAGCTCCAACACTGTAGCAATCCATCAAGCTCCAAATTCTTGAGCTTACATTCTCCCCCTTTTTCACTGAATTTTACAACTCAAGCTCAATAACCTTCAAACACACTA